GTGTAGCTGGCTATTAGATGAGCCCCTGTCATTCATAGGTGTGTTAAATTTTCAAGTACTACAAACACAAGAGGATTCAAACCCGTGACCTGAGGGACCTACGATCTTCAGAGATGCTGCTCTACCAATATGTCACTATATATATATATATATATAATCTGTGTGTGTGTGTTCCAAGAAATGGTGACGACTAGGGTTCCAAAATTGCCAATGGTCTCACATCATGTAGATAGAGATTATAACAAGAATAGAGTGGAAGAATGGAGTAGAAAAGTATATAGGATGAAGATGAAATAGGGAATGCTTTGTACTATCTCTACTCTGTAAATTGAAGGAAAGATGGATCATTTTAAGCAGTGGATGGCCTATAAGTTTTGATTGGTTTCCACCTATAAGTGGTTACACAAATGAGTACATTAAGAAAGGGAAAATACATTGAAATAAATACGGTCATGTTATTGTGTATGTAGTGCATCAAGTGAGATGACATAGTTAGGCTCTTAGGGTTAGTTGATGAAATATCGAGTTTGTAGAATTGAATTAGGTGAATTATTTGTCAAGCTGTTTAAATTGATATTTAATGTTATATATATATATATATTATATATATATATATATATATATATAATTGGATAAGCTGGATTTAGTTGTGTGCCGCTTTCTCCGGTTCTTTGGTTGGCATCCGCTAAGTCAGTCCTATGCCCCTGGGGGTCAGGGGCTATATGCCGCTGGTGTGTGAATGAGTCGAGTGGTTAGACACTTGAGGTTGGTTGAGGATTCGTATCGTAGCCTCTGACCAATCTTTTCTATATATATATATATATTCTATATATATATATATATATGTATTAACAGGCACTCACAAAATTTAAATATGAATTATTTTGCGGAGAATAATTTTATTTTTGTATACATGCAAACAAATAAACAGCGTAGATATCAACACGAGCAAGTGGTGGCCCCACTAGGAATTAATAGATACCATCGAGTTCCCATGATAAGCTTCATCAAATTTGGAGGGGCTAAATTTTGTTACTCTTTTAAGATAGTTCATCTAAAAGACTCTACAATGTATTGTCTACAAGTATGGCAAGAGAATGACACAGCATATGCATTTAGGTGGGCTTACATTTATTTCTAATCTATGTACGTACTTCTTAGATAAGTATTACGAAGATACGTAATGAAATTTTAGTGTCTTTTCTTGATAATAAGTTTGTTTAGTGCTGTATTTACTGAAATGAAAGAATTATTACATAAATGAACTGTGAAAGACTCTCAAAGTCATGTAGAGGAGAATTAGCTCAATTAGTGGCGCAACAACAAAAGAAGTCATTTGGCATGAAATTGTTGTAAGAAGTTAAAATGAGTAATGGAAATTAGCCTAACAAATTTGACTGACAGCCAAATTAGTTAGCTAGGAGGAAGGCCAAACAAGGTAAAGATGGATAGGCGGAGAGGGAATATGAGTGAGGGAGGATGGGGAAGTTCTGTGGGATTTGCTAGGAGGCGGTAGCTATGAGACTTGAGAGAGAGGATATGCATGAATGTTGGACAAGACATTGAAAACTCTCTTGTATTGTGCATGTTTGAGAAAAAATGTTGCATTGTTGCTTGAGTGTGAGGTTATAAACTATGAAACAAGATTAATAAGAGAGAGAAAATAAGAGGAGCATGAGTGAGAAATGAATTTCTACTCTACTCAATATGATCATAGGCTTGACAACGGATACACGAGTGAATCTCAATTAGAAGTGCAACAACTAAGGTGGTCATTTGATATCAAATTATTGTAATAGGATAAAAGGAGTAATGGTAATTAGCTTGACAAATTTGATGAATGACTCAACTAGTTCGCGGGGAGGAAATCCAAACAATGTGAGATTGGGTAATGGAGAGGGACGATTAGTGTGAGGATGGGAAAGTTTGGCAGGAGTTTCTAGGAGCTCATAGCGACAAGATTTGAGAGAGAGGATATGCATGAATGTTGGACATGATATGGCAACCTTTCTTGTAGTGTGCATATTTGCAAAAAAGCGATGCATGATTACTTGAGTGTGAGGTTATGAAGTATGAAATGAAGAGAGAAATAAAGTCAACAAGAAAGAGTTACAAAGATAATAAGAAAGAGAGAGGGAGAGAGAGAGAAAGAACAAGAAAGACATGAGTGAGACATAAAATTTCAACTCAATACGATCATAATGTTGACATATGCTATATAAGAGAACTTTGATGCCTGATATGTTGTGAATCATATGGCAATCTATGCAAGTATATATGGATTTGAGTCCAAGAGTCAATCTCATAGGAAACTTGTAAATTTTCACAATAGGTGAAAGTCATAGTTTTCTAAGCATATATCTAGCTCGAAAAGTTGAAGTTTTGGTGAATTTTCAAAGTGTCTATTCCTAAATTTTAAAAATAACACTCCTACAAAATGAGATTAGGGTTATTTTGACTATGAAAAAGAAAATCTTCGATATTCTTCCACTTAATTGTTAAACTGTTATCATAAATTAGAAACAAATCCTTCTTAGCCTCTTCCAATGTCATAAAAAACAGTAGAAACTCGTATTATA